AAGTACCTTCGGGGTAGATTCGACATTTTCTAGTGGGGCACAGTCATATGAAAATAATTAAAAATGTAATGTTTTTAGAAGTTTTAAAAAAAATGACAAAAATTATAAAAAGTACCTTGGGAGTAGATTCGGCATTTTAAAGTGAGTATTATTATTTTCTTATTTGTTTTGTTTTTTTTTTTTTTGAGTTTGTCTTTAAAAATAATCTTTTAATATGGTTCCAAGTTACATATATAAGACCAAACGAGCTTATATTGACAAAAATGCGATAGAAAAATGCTATTTCCGGTAGTGTATATGACCTTGAGACGTCAATGTCCGCCGCTAAAAATATAGTCTTAAAAGTCGAACATTGACTCGCGTATTAAAACAAAATAGATCCTTTAGAGGATCTGAATTCCAACAAGACTGATAGAAATGATAATCACCAGACTATGACTATGGGCCGAATGTGCCCCATCAAATGCCGGGTAGGAAAGCATTCGGCGAATTTGACTTTTTTTTTACAAAACTGTAAAAATTTTAAACTAATACTAATTTATAAACATTTGTGGAACCGAATTTACCCTAGTCTTCCCTATAGATCAAACAATTTCAGATTTATGCTCTTTGGAAGGGCGATATTTTGCAGTAAAAAATTATTTACAATTTTTTGTTTGATGCATTCAGTTGTGAGTTACAGGGTGTTCAAAATGGAAGTGAACAATGTGAAAAATTGGTACATTTTACGTTTTTTTTTTTTTTTTTTGACAATGTTGAAAATGCAAGTTAAGCGGCTAAAATTGTGATTGGTGTTTATGGTTCGATACTGTAACATCTAATTATGTGCGATTTTAGATTACGTTCAGGAATTTTTGATGGTAAGGATGCACCTCGCACATGTAGGCCGGTCGTCGAAAATGTCGATTAAATCGGAGAAATGATCGAAGTTGACCGGCATGTTAGCAGTCGTAACATCTCCCAGGAGCTAAAAATTGACCATAAAACTTTTTGAAACCAGAAATCAGAAACGGCCAGAATAAAATTTTTTATCTAGGGAGGATTGTGGAAATCGACTACTAGAGTTGTTTTTTTTTTTTTTTGCAAATAGAGAGTTTTTCTGCAGATTGAGAGGACTTCTAAGAGAGAGGCCATATGATATTACCTTTAAAATGCCAACAAATCATACAAACAAAAATAAATAAAGCCCTATAACTCATATAAAAATAATGGTTTTCTTTTTTCCCAACCTAATGTTTCTTTGTAAAATTGAGGGTAAGTTAAAATTTAAATAAGTTTTTACGCTATTTCGCCATATATACCCACATATTCATTTGATGAAAACGCAATACATTTTCCATTTGTTTCACACATTCTTCTAATTAAAATTATTATTGAACAATAAAGTACACTCAATACTTGATCTACATCCATGTCTAGCAAATATTGAAAAACGTGCAAGACTTCTTAATAAAGTTCATTTACACTCTTCACAAGCATTTGCAGTTAGTGATGTCTATATAGCGTTTTTTTTTTTTTTTTGATAATAGTTTACTGAAAAAAAAATCGTTATTTTCAAGATAAGTTAACTATTACCCGCAGTATGCATATCTACGAAATATTATGTTATATTAAAATTGATCTGGATGCTGCTCTGGATCTGGATGTACAATTTGTGGAAACTTTAACAAAATATTTCAATTGATAAAAAGGCCGAAGTTGTAACACCGTTTTTGATTAAACGAACAAACGAAATTAATGAATTGCAATGTACTTGATATGTGCGTGTGTTTGTGTGTGCAGGGAATATATGCACACATACATACATTCACATCGAATACCCATACAAACATAAGATTCTATCGATGATTGCAGACAATAAAGTGCCTTGCTTTATTAGTTTTCATAAGTTTTCTGCGGCCACTTCTTCTTTGTCTAGCACTTCCTACACTGCTATTTGATAGAATTCAATGTTTATGCACCAGACGTTTGCCCAAGTATAGACACACTTCGTAGCATGAATCTGTGAATTTATGAAGAATAAGAAGGCCACACACGAGCAAACAGCTCACTTCGTTGGCGTTTAGCTTTTGTTGTGGAGTGCATTGTATGAATTTGTTTGCTTTATTTATTGTTTTCTTCTGTTGATGTTCTCGTTATAAACAAACTAAAGAAAATGCTTTGTTTTACTTGAGTTTTCTTTCAATACCATTTATTGTTGTTGGTGGAACTCCAAATCAGAAGAAGGAAGTAAAATAAAAATTCTTCCATACTCTATTTAAAAAATCAACGCGCACATGCATTCATGTGTTTCGAATATCTCTATTAATTCACCACAGGTTTAGAATTCAAAACTGACAAATGACGTGGTGAATTGCTGAAATGCCTATATTTTATTGAAAACTTGAATTACACTGTGATCCAGTGCATTATGTCTCCATGGTTACTTTCGAGAATATGCAAAGAATAACTTTCTGAGTCAATTTATCCATGTGCGTCCGTCTGTTGATATAAAATTGTGGCATTTATGATCCGACTTGAATGAAATTCGCTACAGCGCATTTTTTTGGCCCAAAGACTAACTCTATTGAAATTAGCGAAAATCGGTTCAGATTTACATATATCTCCCATCTATATATGATTAAAATATTATATGAGTACTGTCATTAAAAATTATTTCTCTTTGCATGATATTGGTTCTTTCCCAACTTCGTCTTGATAGCTAGCTGCTATAGTTTTGTAAACTTCTTGGAATACTTTAGTTGTTCAAACTTTTGCCATTCATTGTCATTGCAGCTGCAACTGAATGGAGTACCACACATTTTTACTTAGCATCTGACAAAAAAGCGAAACGAATTCTTTCATCTTTCTTTTCTGGCGAGCATTGATGTTTACTTCGCTTGACTTTATTCTTTATTGTCGTTTTATTACAAAAGACGATATGACACAGACAGCAAATGGAGCAAGTTTTATTCCCGTTGCTGACTTTTGTTTGTGTCAATAAATGTACCATAAATTATTGACTTCTTTGTAGTTTCTCTTGGGTCCATGTGTGCAGAGAATAATGTGAAGTTTCGTATATAGTATTTTTTTATTATTATTTTATACGTTTTTTTTTCGCAAAAATCCCTGGTATTCCATATTTCATGCTTACTTAAATTCGAATCTGCATTGGGTTTTAATGTGCTGCTCATTTTTATAACAATTACCGAGTCCTGAATAATATTGAGTGCAGACAAATTTAATACATATTTATATATATATTTGCTCTCAATTGATATTTAACTACTTCGATTGCTATTGGAATACAGAGAAACACACACACACCACTCAACATTGATTGACCGGAAAGTGCAGTTCCCTACACAGCAGTCGCTGCAGAGAGCATTCAACCACAAATTATTTGCCTTAATGGATGGATAATTAATTGCTGTAATGGCCTTGTTTTTATTGTTATATGCCAAAATAAAGAGGAAGAATGGAAAAAAACACAGCAAAGAAAATCGAAAAGAGATAAGCAAAAAATGGACCAGTAATTGTAATTAAAAAAAGAAGCCTTATAAACAAAAGCCAACTACAATTACACTACGAAATGGAACGGAAAAATTCAAAGTTAAATAAGCATTGACTGCAAATTTGATATTATTTTTAATTAAGAGCTCTAAAGGAAAATCAAATAACAAAAACACGTCAAAAGGTAATATAGAGAATGTAAATAAAAATTGCAGTACTGGTTTTATTAGGAATGTCATTAAATTTTCTTATTTCAAAAAGTCATGGTAAATTGAACAATGTATTAAAACACTAAAACGTATATTAAATAAACTGAAGTGTGAGCAATAATACGATATTTTCACTATTCCGTTGCAATTGTCTCAATTTATTATGAACCAACTCAATTTATTATGAACCATAAATTGTGCTCATAAAAGAATGCAGGAAGTCCAAGGTTAACAAAATTACCAAAAATAAAACTTTATCAAATTTATAAATACTTAAGTTGAATAAAATCGATTACCTTTTAGTCTATATAATCCACATCCAAACTTACCTAAAAAAAGACAATTAGAATTTGAATTATTATTGGATTAAAAAACATTTTCTAAATATAATTATCATAAGAACATTTAAAAGAATAATTTTAGCATTAAATGTAATACATAAATACAATTTAAATTCCTTTTTATTAAAACAGCCGTTTGAGAAACAAAACTACTACAATTTTATTTCATTTTTTGCATTTATGTGTCATACTGCATTCCACAATTATAACAATGACACATTTACATGTTCAGTCGTAGCTTTGTTTGGATTGTCCAGCTCCATCACCCACACTACACGAATTATTATTGCATTTTTTTTTTTGCTTTAAAGAAATACGAGAATGAAATAAAATTTTACTATAATTATATCAGACCATGACTATCGTCCGACTATACCTACATGCATAAAAACTATTCCTTAATAATAAACTAAACTTGTACATTTCATAATACTAGACGAAATAGTTTTTACATCGTCTAGTCACCTTTACTCCGCATGTAAACTTTACTCGATCATAATTGCAATAGGTAGCTGCTGTGGTCAGAACTTATTCAGCTATATAAAAAAACGTTTTAATATTGGAAGACCTATAAAATGCTAACGCGAATAATACAGTTATGTAAGAATACAAAGCTTTAAACTGAAACCTGACATTCCCTCACAGGTTCGTTTCACAGCTAGCACTTTTATATTCAATTACAGAAAGAATATTTTCGAAACAGAGTAGTTGTTCGTTTACCTCGTCGTAATTCATAAATAGACCACGCAATTTGACAATCCGTTCAGTTCGAATCGAGACGCGCGCTCTATACACGGATTACGGGAACTACCTTTAAATCGAATTTAAGTGCAAACGGATTTCCAATATCGCTTCTAATAACCATTAAAGTGAAACGAAACAAACACGACATTTGAAGAAAAAAAAAATAAGTGAAATGTAAAATAAATAAATAAAAGAATTGAAAAATATAAGTAAAATGTTAAAGCTTTCGATATTACTAAGCATATTAGTGGCAACCACTATAGCTTTAACGTATTCTGGAAAGCCTTACATACATATACGCCAGGGCGTAAAACCCAATCAATTGATTATCAGTGTTCGACATCCATGTACAAATATTACACGAAAAACAACAACAGAATTTCCACCAAACGACGATAACTCGACGACAACAGAGGACTCAACTGGAAATAATGATTGTTCAGACCAAAAACACCACTCGAAAGAGAGCAGTTGTTCGTCGCACTCATCAGAAGAATTTCATTCTGATTGCTTGAATACATCCGAAGAACATCGCTCGAAAAGTTCATGTTCATCATCGTCAGAGGAAAGCCAATGTTCCTGCTCTTCATCATCGAAAGAAGAAGATTGCGAATATCACTCTAAATCTAAGTGTTCGTCATCATCAGAACCAGGATCAATGGAAAAATCACAAAATTCTTGCTCTTCTTCTTCAGATTCTTCGGTGTCTTATGAATGTGATGGAGATTTAAGCAATGAATCCCTACAGGACCACAGCCACATTGGCTCATGTAGCTCTTCAGAAGAGTCCCATTCAAAAGAGACAACTGTAGAATCGGACAAAAACACATATTTTCCAACGATAGCAACATCAACCTTATCTCCAGAATCTACCACTACTCCAGTAGAGACTGGTTCTACCGAAAGGCCCGACGCAACAACCATACCCATTCTATCTACGACGATGGACACATCTGAAACTGAACGCACTACTACATCAACATTTGAAACGACCCTTACAACGCTAGAGGAAGATGGCGGAGCTTTATCAGACAATAGCACAATCACCATGCCAATAGCCGATACTACAACACCGTCAAGCTCAATAACGACCTCAACGCCAATAAGTTGGAATACTGAAACAACAGAAAGTAAATCCACCACTACAGAAACAAGTATAACTACATCGATGAGTGAAGAAACCACCGCCCATGTAAATGACACAACAACACCTTCAGGTGAGGCAACAACGACGAAGTCAGAAGGCGAAGGAACCGCTCCACCGGTTGGTGAAACTACAACACTGTCTTCGGGAGGTGAAGGAACAACAACATCTTCAGGTAAAGCAACAACGACGACGTCGGAAGGCGAAGCAACCACACCATCTGTTGTTGAAACTACAACACCGTCTTCGGGAGGTGATGGAACAACAACACCTTCAAGTGAAACAACAACGACGACGTCGGAAGTTGAAGAAACTACTCCAACTGTTGGTGAAACTACAACACCGTCTTCTGAAGGTGAAGCAACAACAACACCTTCAAGTGAAGCAATAACGACGACGTCAGAAGGCGAAGGAACTACTCCATCTGCTGGTGAAACTACAACACCGTCTTCGGGAAGTGAAGTAACAACAACAACGACGACGACGTCGGAAGGCGAAGGAACCACTCCACCTGTTGGTGAAACTACACCACCGTCTTCGGGAGGTGAAGGAACAACAACACCATTAAGTGAAACAACGACGACGTCAGAAGGCGAAGGAACCACTCCACCTGTTGGTGAAACTACAACACCGTCTTCGGGAGGTGAAGGAACAACAACATCTTCAGGTGAAGCAACAACGACGACGTCCGAAGGTGAAGAAACCACTCTACCTGTTGGCGAAACTACAACACCGTCTTCGGGTGGTGAAGGAACAACAACACCTTCAGGAAAAGGAACAACGACGACGTCGGAAGGTGAAGGAACAACTCCACCTGTTGGTGAAACTACAACACCGTCGTCGGGAGGCGAAGGAACAACAACACCTTCAAGTGAAGCAACAACGACAACGTCGGAAGGTGAAGGGACGACGTCCGAAGGTGAAGTAACCACTCCACCTGTTGGTGAAACTACAACACCGTCTTCGGGAGATGCAGGAACAACAACATCTTCAGGTAAAGCAACAACGACGACGTCCGAAGGTGAAGGAACCACTCCACCTATTGGTGAAAGTACAACACCGTCTTCGGGAGGTGAAGGAACAACAACATCTTCAGGTGAAGCAACAACGACGACGTCCGAAGGTGAAGGAACCACTCCACCTATTGGTGAAAGTACAACACCGTCTTCGGGAGGTGATGGAACAACAACACCTTCAAGTGAAGCAATAACGACGACGTCAGAAGGCGAAGGAACTACTCCACCTGCTGGTGAAACTACAACACCGTCTTCGGGAAGTGAAGTAACAACAACAACGACGACGACGTCGGAAGGCGAAGGAACCACTCCACCTGTTGGTGAAACTACACCACCGTCTTCGGGAGGTGAAGGAACAACAACACCATTAAGTGAAACAACGACGACGTCAGAAGGTGAAGGAACCACTCCACCTGTTGGTGAAACTACAACACCGACTTCGGGAGGTGAAGGAACAACAACATCTTCAGGTGAAGCAACACCTGTTGGTGAAACCACCACTCCTGTCAGCGAAATTACAACACCATCTTCGGGAGGTGCAGGATCAACAACACCATCAAGTGAAGCAACAACGACGACGTCGGAAGGTGAAGGAACCACTCCACCTGTTGGTGAAACTACAACACCGTCTTCGGGAGGTGAAGGAACAACAACATCTTCAGGAGAAGGAACAACGACGACGTCCGAAGGTGAAGGAACCACTCCACCTGTTGGTGAAACTACAACACCGTCTTCGGGAGGTGAAGGAACAACAACATCTTCAGGTGAAGCAACAACGATGACGTCCGAAGGTGAAGGAACCACTCCACCTGTTGGTGAAACTACAACACCGTCTACAACACCGTCTTCGGGAGGTGAAGGAACAACAACATCTTCAGGTGAAGCAACAACGACGACGTCCGAAGTTGAAGGAACCACTCCACCTATTGGTGAAACTACAACACCGTCGTCGGGAGGCGAAGGAACAACAACACCTTCAAGTGAAGCAACAACGACGACGTCGGGAGGCGAAGGAACCACTCCACCTGTTGGTGAAACTACAACACCGTCTTCGGGAGGTGAAGAAACAACAACATCTTCAGGTGGAGAAACAACGACGACGTCCGAAGGTGAAGGAACCACTCCACCTATTGGTGAAAGTACAACACCGTCTTCGGGAGGTGAAGGAACAACAACATCTTCAGGTGAAGCAACAACGACGACGTCCGAAGGTGAAGGAACCACTCTACCTGTTGGTGAAACTACAACACCGTCTTCGGGAGTTGAAGGAACAACTCCACCTGTTGGTGAAACTACAACACCGTCTTCGGAAGGTGAAGGAACAACAACACCTTCAGGTGAAGCAACAACGACGATGTCGGAAGGTGAAGGAACCACTCCATCTGTTGGTGAAACTACAACACCGTCGTCGGGAGGTGAAGGAATAACAACACCATTCAGTGAAACAACGACGACGTCTGAAGGCGAAGGAACCACTCCACCAGTTGGTGAAACTACAACACCGTCTTCGGGAGATGCAGGAACAACAACATCTTCAGGTAAAGCAACAACGACGACGTCCGAAGGTGAAGGAACCACTCCACCTATTGGTGAAAGTACAACACCGTCTTCGGGAGGTGATGGAACAACAACGACGACGTCAGAAGGCGAAGGAACTACTCCACCTGCTGGTGAAACTACAACACCGTCTTCGGGAAGTGAAGTAACAACAACAACGACGACGAAGTCGGAAGGCGAAGGAACCACTCCACCTGTTGGTGAAACTACACCACCGTCTTCGGGAGGTGAAGGAACAACAACACCATTAAGTGAAACAACGACGACGTCAGAAGGTGAAGGAACCACTCCACCTGTTGGTGAAACTACAACACCGACTTCGGGAGGTGAAGGAACAACAACATCTTCAGGTGAAGCAACAACGACGACGTCCGAAGGTGAAGGAACCACTCCACCTATTGGTGAAAGTACAACACCGTCTTCGGGAGGTGAAGGAACAACAACATCTTCAGGTGAAGCAACAACGACGACATCCGAAAGTGAAGGAACCACTCCACCTATTGGTGAAAGTGCAACACCGTCTTCGGGAGGTGAAGGAACAACAACATCTTCAGGTGAAGCAACAACGACGACGTCCGAAGGTGAAGGAACCACTCCACCTGTTGGTGAAACCACCACTCCTGTCAGCGAAATTACAACACCATCTTCGGGAGGTGCAGGATCAACAACACCATCAAGTGAAGCAAAAACGACGACGTCGGAAAGTGAAGGAACCACTCCACCTGTTGTTGAAACTACAACACCGTCTTCGGGAGGTGAAGGAACAACAACATCTTCAGGAGAAGGAACAACGACGACGTCCGAAGGTGAAGGAACCACTCCACCTGTTGGTGAAACTACAACACCGTCTTCGGGAGGTGAAGGAACAACAACATCTTCAGGTGAAGCAACAACGATGACGTCCGAAGGTGAAGGAACCACTCCACCTGTTGGTGAAACTACAACACCGTCTTCGGGAGGTGAAGGAACAACAACATCTTCAGGAGAAGGAACAACGACAACGTCGGAAGGTGAAGGAACAACTCCACCTGTTGGTAAAACTACAACACCGTCTTCGGGAGGTGAAGGAACAACAACATCTTCAGGTGGAGCAACAACGACGACGTCCGAAGGTGAAGGAACCACTCCACCTATTGGTGAAAGTACAACACCGTCTTCGGGAGGTGAAGGAACAACAACATCTTCAGGTGAAGCAACAACGACGACGTCCGAAGTTGAAGGAACCACTCCACCTATTGGTGAAACTACAACACCGTCGTCGGGAGGCGAAGGAACAACAACACCTTCAAGTGGAGCAACAACGACGACGTCGGGAGGCGAAGGAACCACTCCACCTGTTGGTGAAACTACAACACCGTCTTCGGGAGGTGAAGAAACAACAACATCTTCAAGTGAAGGTGTAACGACAACGTCGGAAGGTGAAGGAACAACTCCACCTGTTGGTGAAACTACAACACCGTCTTCGGGAGGTGAAGAAACAACAACATCTTCAGGTAGAGCAACAACGACGACGTCCGAAGGTGAAGAAACCACTCCACCTGTTGATGAAACTACAACACCGTCTTCGGGAGTTGAAGAAACAACAACATCTTCAGGTGAAGCAACAACGACGACTTCCGCAGGCGAAGGAACCACTCTACCTGTTGGTGAAACTACAACACCGTCTTCGGGAGGTGAAGGAACAACAACAAGTTTAAGTGAAGCAACAACGACGACGTCGGAATTCGAAGGAACCACTCCATCTGTTGGTGAAACTACAACACCGTCGTCTGGAGGTGATGGAACAACAACACCTTCAAGTGAAGCAACAACGACGACGTCGGAAGGTGAAGGAACCACTCCACCTGTTGGTGAAACTACAACACCGTCGTCGGGAGGCGAAGGGACAACAACACCTTCAAGTGAAGCAACAACGACGACGTCGGAAGGTGAAGGAACAACTCCACCTGTTGATGAAACTACAACACCGTCGACTGGAGGCGAAGGAACAACAACACCTTCAAGTGAAGCAACAACGAAAACGTCGGAAGGTGAAGGAACAACTCCACCTGTGGGTGAAACTACAACACCGTCGTCGGGAGGCGAAGGAACCACTCCATCTGTTGGTGAAACTACAACACCGTCGTCTGGAGGTGATGGAACAACAACACCTTCAAGTGAAGCAACAACGACGACGTCCGAAGGTGAAGGAACCACTCCACCTGTTGTTGAAACTACACCACCGTCTTCGGGAGGTGAAGGAACAACAACATCTTCAGGTGAAGCAACAACGACGACGTCGGAAGGTGAAGGAACCACTCCACCTGTTGGTGAAACTACAACACCGTCGTCGGGAGGCGAAGGAACAACAACACCTTCAAGTGAAGCAACAACGACAACGTCCGAAGGTGAAGGAACAACAACATCTTCAGGTGAAGCAACAACGACGACGTCCGAAGGTGAAGGAACCACTCCACCTGTTGGTCAAACTACAACACCGTCTTCGGGAGGTGAAGAAACAACAACATCTTCAAGTGAAGCTACATCGACAACGTCGGAAACTACACCACCGTCTTCGGGAGGTGAAGGAACAACAACATCTTCAGGTGAAGCAACAACGACGACATCCGAAGGCGAAGGAACCGCTCCACCTGTTGGTGAAACTACAACACCGTCTTCGGGAGGTGAAGGAACAACAACACCATTAAGTGAAACAACGACAATGTCAGAAGGCGAAGGAACTACTCCACCTGTTAGTGAAACTACAACATCGCCTTCGGGAGGTGAAGGAACAACAACATCTTCAGGTGAAGCACCAACGACGACGTCCGAAGGTGAAGGAACCACTCCACCTGTTGTTGAAACTACACCACCGTCTTTGGGAGGTGAAGGAACAACAACATCTTCAGGTGAAGCAACAACGACGACGTCCAAAGGTGAAGGAACCACTCCACCTGTTGGTGAAACTACAACACCGTCTTCGGGAGGTGAAGGAACAACAACACCATTAAGTGAAACAACGACAATGTCAGAAGGCGAAGGAACTACTCCACCTGTTAGTGAAACTACAACATCGCCTTCGGGAGGTGAAGGAACAACAACATCTTCAGGTGAAGCACCAACGACGACGTCCGAAGGTGAAGGAACCACTCCACCTGTTGGTGAAGCTACAACACCGTCTTCGGGAGGTGAAGGAACAAGAACATCTTCAGGTGAAGCAATAACGACGACGTCCGAAGGTGAAGGAACCACTCCACCTGTTGGTGAAACTACAACTACGTCTTGGGGAGGCGAAGGAACAACAACACCTTCAAGTGAAGAAACAACGACAACGTCGGAAGGTGAAGGAACAACTCCACCTGTTGGTGAAACTACAACACCGTCTTCGGGAGGTGAAGGAACTACAACACCATTAAGTGAAACAACGACGACCTCTGAAGGTGAAGGAACCACTCCACCTATTGGTGAAACTACAACACCGTCTTCGGGAGGTGAAGGAACAACAACATCTTCGGGTGAACCAACAACGACGACGTCGGAAGGCGAAGGAACCACTCCATCCGTTGGTGAAACAACACCACCGTCTTCGGGAGGTGAGGGAACAGCAACACCTTCAAGTGAAGCAACAACGACGACGTCAGAAGTCAAAGGAACTACTCCACCTGCTGGTGAAACCACCACTCCTGTCAGCGAAACTACAACACCATCTTCGGGAGGTGCAGGATCAACAACACCTTCAAGTGAAGCAACAACGACGACGTCCGAAGGTGAAGGAACTACTCCACCTATTAGTGAAACTACAACACCGTCTTCGGGAGGTGAAGCCACAACAACATCTTCAGGTGAAGCACCAACGACGACGTCCGAAGGTGAAGGAACCACTCCACCTGTTGGTGAAACTACAACGACGTCTTCGGGAGGTGAAGGAATAACAACATCTTCAGGTGAAGCACCAACGACGACGAACGAAGGTGAAGGAACCACTCCACCTGTTGGTCAAACTACAACACCGTCGACGGGAGGCGAAGGAACAACAACACCTGCAAGTGAAGCAACAACGACAACGTCGGAAGGTGCAGGAACAACTCCACCTGTTGGTGAAACTACAACACCGTCGTCGGGAGGCGAAGGAACCACTCCATCTGTTGGTGAAACTACAACACCGTCGTCGGGAGGTGATGGAACAACAACACCTTCAAGTAAAGCAACAACGGCGACGTCGGAAGGTGAAGAAACAACTCCGTGTACGACTTCCGAAGGTGAAGGAACCACTCCTCCTACTGGTGAAATTACAACACCGTCTTCGGGAGGTGAAGGAACAACAACATCTTCAAGTGAAGCAACAACGACAACGTCCGAAGGAGGCGAAGGAACAACAACGCCTTCAAGTGAAGAAACAACGACAACGTCGGAAGGTGAAGGAACAACTCCACCTGTTGGTGAAACTGCAACACCGTCTTCGGGAGGTGAAGGAACAACAACATCTTCGGGTGAAGCAACAACGACGACGTCGGAAGGCGAAGGAACCACTCCATCCATTGGTGAAACAACACCACCGTCTTCGGGAGGTGAGGGAACAGCAACACCTTCAAGTGAAGCAACAACGACGACGTCAGAAGTCGAAGGAACTACTCCACCTGCTGGTGAAACCACCACTCCTGTCAGCGAAACAACAACACCATTTTCGGGAGGTGCAGGATCAACAACACCTTCAAGTGAAGCAACAACGACGACGTCCGAAGGTGAAGGAACCACTCCACCTGTTGGTGAACCTACAACACCGTCTTCGGGAGGTGAAGGAACAACAACACCTTCAAGTGAAGCAACAACGACGACGTCGGAAGGCGAAGGAACCACTCCACCTGTTGGTGAACCTACAACACCGTCTTCGGGAGGCGAAGGAATAACAACATCTTCAGGTGAAGCAACAACAACGACGTCCGAAGGTGAAGGAACCACTCCACCTCTTGGTGAAACTACAACACCGTCTTCGGGAGGTGAAGGAACAACAACACCTTCGGGTGAAGCAACAACGACGACGTCCGAAGGTGAAGGAACCACTCTACCTGTTGGTGAACCTACAACACCGTCTTCGGGAGGTGAAGGAACAACAACACCTTCAAGTGAAGCAACAACGACGACGTCCGAAGGTGAAGGAACCACTCCACCTGTTGGTGAACCTACAACACCGTCTTCGGGAGGCGAAGGAACAACAACATCTTCAGGTGAAGCAACAACAACGACGTCCGAAGGTGAAGGAACCACTCCTCCTCTTGGTGAAACTACAACACCGTCTTCGGGAGGTGAAGGAACAACAACATCTTCGGGTGAAGCAACAACGACGACGTCGGAAGGCGAAGGAACCACTCCATCCGTTGGTGAAACAACACCACCCTCTTCGGGAGGTGAGGGAACAGCAACACCTTCAAGTGAAGCAACAACGACGACGTCAGAAGGCGAAGGAACCACTCCACCTGCTGGTGAAACCACCACTCCTGTCAGCGAAACTACAACACCGTCTTCGGGAGGTGAAGGAACAACAACATCTTCAGGTGGGGCAACAACGACGACGTCCGAAGGTGAAGGAACCACTCCACCTATTGGTGAAGGTACAACACCGTCTTCGGGAGGTGAAGGAACAACAACACCTTCAAGTGAAGTAACAACGACGACGTCGGAAGGTGAAGGAACAACTCCACCTGTTGGTGAAACTACAACGCCGTCGTCGAGAGGCGAAGGAACAACAACACCTTCAAGTGAAGCGACAACGACGACGTCGGAAGGCGAAGGAACCACTCCATCTGTTGGTGAAACTACAACACCGTCGTCGGGAGGCGAAGGAACACCAACACCTTCAAGTGAAGCAACAACGACGACGTCGGAAGACGAAGGAACCACTCTACCTGTTGGTGAAACTACAACACCGTCTTCGGGAAGTGAAGGAACAACAACACCATTAAGTGAAACAACGACGACGTCCGAAGGCGAAGGAAGCACTCCACCTGCTGGTGAAACCACCACTCGTGTCAGCGAAACTACAACACCATCTTCGGGAGGTGCAGAAACAACAACATCTTCAGGTGAAGCTACAACGACGACGTCCGAAGGTGAAGGAACCACTCCACCTGTTGGTGAAACTACAACACCGTCTTCGGAAGGTGAAGGAACAACAACATCTTCAGGTGAAGCAACAACGACGACGTCCGAAGGTGAAGGAACCAGTCCACCTGTTGGTCAAACTACAACACCGTCTTCGAAAGGTGAAGGAACAACCACGACGTCTGAAGGCCAAGGAACCACTCCACCTGTTGGTGAAACTACAACACCGTCTTCGGGAGGTGAAGGAACAACAGCATCTTCAGGTGAAGCAACAACGACGACGTCTGAAGGCGAAGGAACCACTCCACCTGTTGGTGAAATTACAACACCGTCTTCGGGAGGTGAAGCAACAACGACGACGTCCGAAGGTGAAGGAACCACTCCACCTGTTGGTGAAACTACAACACCGTCTTCGGGAGGTGAAGGAACAACAACACCTTCAAGTGAAGCAACAACGACGACGTCGGAAGGTGAACGAACCCCTCCACCTGTTAGTGAAACTACAACACCGTCTTCGGGAGGTGAAGGAACCACTCCACCTGTTGGTGAAACTACAACACCGTCTTCGGGAGATGAAGGAACAACAACATCTTCAGGTGAAGCAACAACGACGACGTCGGAAGGCGAAGGAACCACTCCATCCGTTGGTGAAACAACACCACCCTCTTCGGGAGGTGAGGGAACAACAAAACCTTCAAGTGAAGCAACAACGACGACGTCCGAAGGCGAAGGAAGCACTCCACCTGCTGGTGAAACCACCACTCCTGTCAGCGAAACTACAACACCATCTTCGGGAGGTGCAGGAACAACAACACCTTCAAGTGAAGCAACAACGCTGACGTCTGAAGGCCAAGGAACCACTCCAACTGTTGGTGAAACTACAACACCGTCTTCGGGAGGTGAAGGAACAACAGCATCTTCAGGTGAAGCAACAACGACGACGTCTGAAGGCGAAGGAACCACTCCACCTGTTGGTGAAACTACAACACCGTCTTCGGGAGGTGAAGCAACAACGACGACGTCCGAAAGTGAAAGAACCACTCCACCTGTTGGTGAAACTACAACACCGTCTTCGGGAGGTGAAGGAACAACAACACCTTCAAGTGAAGCAACAACGACGACGTCGGAAGGTGAACGAACAACTCCACCTGTTGGTGAAACTACAACACCGTCGTGGGGTGGCGAAGGAACAACAACACCTTCAAGTGAAGCAACAACGACGACGTCGGAAGGCGAAGGAACCACTGTTGGTGAAACTACAACACCGTCGTCGGGAGGTGAAGGAACAACAACACCATTAAGTGAAACAACGACGACGTCCGAAGGTGAAGGAACCCCTCCACCTGTTAGTGAAACTACAACACCGTCTTCGGGAGGTGAAGGAACAACAACATCTTCAGGTGAAGCAACAACGACGACATCGGAAGGCGAAGGAACCACTCCATCTGTTGGTGAAACAACAACACCGTCTTCGGGAGGTGAGGGAACCACAACACCTTCAAGTGAAGCAACAACGACGACGTCCGAAGGTGAAGGAACCACTCCACCTGTTGGTGAAACTACAACAGCGTCGTCGGGAGGCGAAGGAACAACAACGACGACGTCGGAAAGCGTAGGAACCACTCCATCTGTTGATGAAACAACAACACCGTCTTCGGGAGGTGAGGGAACAACAACACCTTCAAGTGAAGCAACAACGACGACGTCCGAAGGTGAAGGAACCACTCCACCTGTTGGTGAAACTACAACACCGTCTTCGGGAGGTGAAGGAACAACAACATCTTCAGGTGGAGCAACAACGACGACGTCCGAAGGTGAAGGAACCACTCCACCTAATAGTGAAAGTACAACACCGTCTTCGGGAGGCGAAGGAACAACAACATCTTCAGGTGCAGCAACAACGACGACGTCCGAAGGTGAAGGAACCACTCCACCTGTTGGTGAAACTACAACACCGTCTTCGGGAGGTGAAGGAACCACTCCACCTGTTGGTGAAACTACAACACCGTCTTCGGGAGGTGAAGAAACAACAACACCATTAAGTGAAACAACGACAACGTCAGAAGGCAAAGAAACTACTCCACCTATTGGTGAAGGTACAACACCGTCTTCGGGAGGTGAAGGAACAACAACACTTTCAAGTGAAGCAACAACGACGACGTCGGAAGGCGAAGGAACCACTCCACCTGTTGGTGGAATTACAACACCGTCTTCGGGAGATGGAGGAACCACTCCACCTGTTGGTGAAACTACAACACCGTCTTCGGGAGGTGAAGGAACAACAACACCATTAAGTGAAACAACGACAACGTCAGAAGGCGAAGGAACTACTCCACCTGTTAGTGAAACTACAACACCGTCTTCGGGAGGTGAAGGAACAACAACATCTTCAGGTGAAGCAACAACGACGACGTCCGAAGGTGAAGGAACCACTCCACCTATTGGTGAAAGTACAACACCGTCTTCGGGAGGTGAAGGAACAACAACATCTTCAGGTGAAGCAACAACGACGACGTCCGAAGGTGAAGGAACCACTCCACCTATTGGTGAAAGTACAACACCGTCTTCGGGAGGTGAAGGAACAACAACATCTTCAGGTGAAGCAACAACGACGACGTCCGAAGGTGAAGGAACCACTCCACCTGTTGGTGAAACCACCACTCCTGTCAGCGAAATTACAACACCATCTTCGGGAGGTGCAGGATCAACAACACCATCAAGTGAAGCAACAACGACGACGTCGGAAGGTGAAGGAACCACTCCACCTGTTGGTGAAACTACAACACCGTCTGCGGGAGGTGAAGGAACAACAACATCTTCAGGAGAAGGAACAACGACAACGTCGGAAGGTGAAGGAACAACTCCACCTGTTGGTGAAACTACAACACCGTCGTCGGGAGGTGAAGGAACAACAACATCTTCAGGTGGAGCAACAACGACGACGTCCGAAGGTGAAGGAACCACTCCACCTATTGGTGAAAGTACAACACAGTCTTCGGAAGGCGAAGGAACCACTCCATCCGTTGGTGAAACTACAACACCGTCTTCGGGAGGTGAAGCAACAACAACACCATTAAGTGAAACAACGACAACGTCAGAAGGCGAAGGAACTATTCCACCTGTTAGTGAAACTACAACACCGTCATCGGGAGGTGAAGGAACAACAACATCTTCAGGTGAAGCAACAACGATAACGTCCGAAGGTGAAGGAACCACTCCACCTGTTGGTGAAACTACAACACCGTCTTCGGAAGGTGAAGGAACAACAACATCTTCAGGAGAAGGAACAACGACAACGTCGGTAGGTGAAGGAACACCTCCACCTGTTGGTGAAACTACAACACCGTCTTCGGGAGGTGAAGGAACAACAACATCTTCAGGTGAAGCAACAACGACGACGTCCGAAGGTGAAGGAACCACTCCACCTATTGGTGAAAGTACAACACCGTCTTCGGGAGGTGAGGGAACAACAACACCTTCAAGTGAAGCAACAACGACGACGTCGGAAGGTGAAGGAACCACTCCACCTGTTGGTGAAACCACCACTCCTGTCAGCGAAATTACAACACCATCTTCGGGAAGTGCAGAATCACCAACACCATCAAGTGAAGCAACAACGACAACGTCGGAAGGTGAAGGAACAACTCCACCTGTTGGTGAAATTACAACACCATCTTCGGGAGGTGCAGGATCAACAACACCATCAAGTGAAGCAACAACGACGACGTCGGAAGGTGAAGGAACCACTCCACCTGTTGGTGAAACTACAACACCGTCTTCGGGAGGTGAAGGAACAACAACACCATTAAGTGAAACAACGACGACGTCAGAAGGCGAAGGAACTATTCCACCCATGGATGAAACTTCAACGACGTCTTGGGGAGGCGAAGGAACAACAACACCTTCAAGTGAAGCAACAACGACGACGTCGGAAGGTGAAGGAACCACTCCACCTGTTGGTGAAACCACCACTCCTGTCAGCGAAATTACAACACCATCTTCGGGAGGTGCAGGATCAACAACACCATCAAGTGAAGCAACAACGACGACGTCGGAAGGTGAAGGAACCACTCCACCTGTTGGAGAAACAACAACACCGTCTTCGGGTGGTGAGGGAACAACAACATCTTCAAGTGAAGCAACAACGACGACTACCGAAGGCGAAGGAACCACTCCACCTGTTGGTGAAACTACAACACCGTCTTCGGGAGGTGAAGGAACAACAACATCTTCAGGTGAAGCAACAACGACGACGTCCGAAGGTGAAGGAACCACTCCACCTGTTGGTGAAACTACAACACCGTCTTCGGAAGGTGAAGGAACAACAACAACTTCAGGAGAAGGAACAACGACAACGTCGGAAGGTGAAGGAACAACTCCACCTGTTGGTGAAACTACAACACCGTCTTCGGGAGGTGAAGGAACAATAACATCTTCAGGTGAAGCAACAACGACGACGTCCGAAGGTGAAGGAACCACTCCACCTATTGGTGAAAGTACAACACCGTCTTCGGGAGGTGAAGGAACAACAACATCTTCAGGTGAAGCAACAACGACGACGCCCGAAGGTGAAGGAACCACTCCACCTATTGGTGAAACCACCACTCCTGTCAGCGAAATTACAACACCATCTTCGGGAAGTGCAGAATCACCAACACCATCAAGTGAAGCAACAACGACAACGTCGGAAGGTGAAGGGACAACTCCACCTGTTGGTGAAATTACAACACCATCTTCGGGAGGTGCAGGATCAACAACACCATCAAGTGAAGCAACAACGACGACGTCGGAAGGTGAAGGAACCACTCCACCTGTTGGTGAAACTACAACACCGTCTTCGGGAGGTGAAGGAACAACAACATCTTCAGGAGAAGGAATAGCGACGACGTCGGAAGGTGAAGGAACCACTCCACCTGTTGGTGAAACTACAACACCGTCTTCGGGAGGTGAAGGAACAACAACATCTTCAGGTGAAGCAACAACGACGACGTCCGAAGGTGAAGGAACCACTCCACCTGTTGGTGAAACTACAACACCATCTTCGGAAGGTGAAGGAACAACAACATCTTCAGGAGAAGGAACAACGACAACGTCGGAAGGTGAAGGAACAGCTCCACCTGTTGGTGAAACTACAACACCGTCTTCGGGAGGTGAAGGAACAACAACATCTTCAGGTGGAGCAACAACGACGACGTCCGAAGGTGAAGGAACCACTCCACCTATTGGTGAAACTACAACACGGTCTTCGGGAGGTGAAGGAACAACAACATCTTCAGGTGAAGCAACAACGACGACGTCCGAAGCTGAAGGAACCACTCCACCTATTGGTGAAACTACAACACCGTCGTCGGGAGGCGAAGGAACAACAACACCTTCAAGTAAAGCAACAACGACGACGTCGGAAGGCGACGGAACCACTCCACCTGTTGGTGAAAATACAACACCGTCTTCGGGAGCTGAAGAAACAACAACACCTTCAAGTGAAGCTACAACGACAACGTCGGAAGGTGAAGGAACAACTCCACCTGTTGGTGAAACTACAACACCGTCTTCGGGAGGTGAAGGAACAACAACATCTTCAGGTGGAGCAACAACGACGACGTCCGAAGGTGAAGGAACCACTCCACCTATTGGTGAAAGTACAACACCGTCTACGGGAGGTAAAGGAACAACAACATCTTCAGGTGAAGCAACAACGACGACGTCCGAAGGTGAAGGAACCACTCTACCTGTTGGTGAAACTACAACACCGTCTTCGGGAGGTGAAGGAACAACAACACCTTCAAGTGAAGCAACAACGTCGACGTCTGAAGGCGAAGGAACCACTCCACCTGTTGATGAAACTACAACACCGTCTTCGGGAGTTGAAGGAACAACTCCACCCGTTGGTGAAACTACAACACCGTCTTCGGAAGGTGAAGGAACAACAACACCTTCAGGTGAAGCAACAACGACGATGTCGGAAGGTGAAGGAACCACTCCATCTGTTGGTGAAACGACAACACCGTCGTCGGGAGGTGAAGGAACAACAACACCATTAAGTGAAACAACGACGACGTCAGAAGGCGAAGGAACTACTCCACCTGTTAGTGAAACTACAACACCGTCTGCGGGAGGTGAAGGAACAACAACATCTTCAGGTGAAGCACCAACGACGACGTCCGAAGGTGAAGAAACCACTCCACCTGTTGGTGAAACTACAACACCGTCTTCGGGAGGTGAAGGAACAACAACATCTTCAGGTGAAGTAACAACGACGACGTCCGAAGGTGAAGGAACCACTCCACCTGTTGGTCAAACTACAACACCGTCTTCGGGAGGTGAAGAAACAACAACACCTTCAAGTGAAGCTACAACGACAACGTCGGAAGGTGAAGGAACCACTCCACCTGTTGGTCAAACTACAACACCGTCTTCGGAAGGTGAAGAAACAACAACACCTTCAAGTGAAGCTACAACGACAACGTCGGAAGGTGAAGGAACCACTCCATCTGTTGGTGAAACTACAACACCGTCGTCGGGAGGCGAAGGAACCACTCCATCTGTTGGTGAAACTACAACGCCGTCGTCGGAAGGCGAAGGAACAACAACACCTTCAAGTGAAGTGACAACGACGACGTCGGAAGGCGAAGGAACCACCCCATCTGTTGGTGAAACTACAACACCGTCGTGGGGAGGTGAAGGAACAACAACAAGTTTAAGTGAAGCAACAACGACGACGTCGGAAAGCGAAGGAACCACTCCATCTGTTGGTGAAACTACAACACCGTCGTCGGGAGGTGAAGGAACAACAACACCATTAAGTGAAACAACGACGACGTCAGAAGCAACAACGACGACGTCCGAAGGTGAAGGAACACCTCCACCTGTTAGTGAAACTACAACACCGTCTTCCGGAGGTGAAGGAACCACTCCATCTGTTGGTGAAACTACAACACCGTCGTCGGGAGGTGATGGAACAACAACACCTTCAAGTGAAGCAACAACGACGACGTCGGAAGGTGAAGGAACAAGTCCATGTACGTCTTCCGAAGGTGAAGGAACCACTCCTCCTACTGGTGAAACTACAACACCGTCTTCGGGAGGTGAAGGAACAACAACACCATCAAGTGAAACAACGGCGACGTCGGAAGGTGAAGGAACTATTCCACCCATTGATGAAACTACAACGACGTCTTGGGGAGGCGAAGGAACAACAACACCTTCAAGTGAAGCAACAACGACAACGTCGGAAGGTGAAGGAACAACTCCACCTGTTGGTGAAACTACAACACCGTCTTCGGGAGGTGAAGGAACAACAACATCTTCAGGAGAAGGAACAGCGACGACGTCGGAAGGTGAAGGAACCACTCCATCTGTTGGTGAAACTACAACACCGTCGTCGGGAGGCGAAGGAACAACAACTCCTTCAAGTGAAGCAACAATGACGACGTCGGAAAGCGATGGCACCACTCTATCTGTTGGTGAAACTACAACACCGTCTTCGGGAGGTGAAGGAACAACAACACCATTAAGTGAAACAACGACGACCTCTGAAGGTGAAGGAACCACTCCACCTATTGGTGAAACTACAACACTGTCTTCGGGAGGTGAAGGAACAACAACATCTTCAGGTGAAGCAACAACTACGACGTCCGAAGCTGAAGGAACCACTCCACCTGTTGGTGAAGCAACAACGACGACGTCGGAAGGTGAAGGAACCACTCCATCTGTTGGTGAACCTACAACGCCGTCTTTGGGAGGTCAAGGAACCACAACATCTTCAGGTGAAGCAACAACGACGACGTCCGAAGTTGAAGGAACCACTCCACCTCTTGGTGAAACTACAACACCGTCTTCGGGAGGTGAAGGAACAACAACATCTTCAGGTGAAGCAACAACGACGACGTCGGAAGGCGAAGGAACCACTCCATCCGTTGGTGAAACTACAACACCATCTTCGGGAGGTGCAGGATCAACAACACCTTCAGGTGAAGCAACAACGACGACGTCCGAAGGTAAAGGAATCACTCCACCTCTTGGTGAACCTACAACAACGTCTTCGGGAGGTGAAGGAACAACAACACCTTCAAGTGAAGCAACAACGACGACGTCGGGAGGTGAAGGAACCACTCCACCTATTGGTGAAGGTACAACACCGTCTGCGGGAGGTGAAGGAACAACAACACCTTCAAGTGAAGCAACAACGACGACGTCGGAAGGTGAAGGAACCACTCCACCTATTGGTGAAGGTACAACACCGTCTTCGGGAGGTGAAGGAACAACAGCATTTTCAGGTGAAGCAACAACGACGACGTCTGAAGGCGAAGAAACCACTCCACCTGTTGGTGAAACTACAACAACGTCGTCGGGAGGTGAGGGAACAACAACACCTTCAAGTGAAGCAACAACGACGACGTCCGAAGGTGAAGGAACCACTCCACCTATTGGTGAAGGTACAACACCGTCTTCGGGAGGTGAAGGAACAACAACACCTTCAAGTGAAGTAACAACGACGACGTCGGAAGGTGAAGGAACCACTCCATCTGTTGGTGAAACTACAACACCGTCGTCGGGAGGTGAAGGAACAACAGCATTTTCAGGTGAAGCAACAACGACGACGTCTGAAGGCGAAGGAACCACTCCACCTGTTGGTGAAACTACAACACCGTCTTCGGGAGGTGAAGGAACAACAGCATCTTCAGGTGAAGCAACAACGACGACGTCGGAAGGTGAAGGAACAACTCCACCTGTTGGTGAAGCTACAACACCGTCGTCGGGAGGCGAAGGAACCACTCCATCTGTTGGTGAAACTACAACACCGTCGCCGGGAGGTGATGGAACAACAACACCTTCAAGTGAAGCAACAACGACGACGTCGGAAGGTGAAGGAACAACTCCATGTACGACTTCCGAAAGTGAAGGAACCACTCCTCCAACTGGTGAAACTACAACACCGCCTTCGGGAGGTGAAGGAACAACAACACCATCAAGTGAAACAACGACGACGTCGGAAGGTGAAGGAACTATTCCACCCATGGATGAAACTTCAACGACGTCTTGGGGAGGCGAAGGAACAACAACACCTTCAAGTGAAGCAACAACGACAACGTCGGAAAGCGAAGGCACCACTCCATCTGTTGGTGAAACTACAACACTCTCTTCGGGAGGTGAAGGAACAACAACATCTTCAGGTGAAGCAACAACTACGACGTCCGAAGCTGAAGGAACCACTCCACCTATTGGTGAAGCAACAACGACGACGTCGGAAGGTGAAGGAACCACTCCACCTGTTGATGAACCTACAACACCGTCTTCGGGAGGTCAAGGAACAACAACATCTTCAGGTGAAGGAACCACTCCACTTCTTGATGAAACTACAACACCGTCTTCGGGAGGTGAAGGAACAACAACATCTTCAGGTGAAGCAACAACGACGACGTCGGAAGGCGAAGGAACCACTCCATCCGTTGGTGAAACTACAACACCATCTTCGGGAGGTGCAGGATCAACAACACCTTCAGGTGAAGCAACAACGACGACGTCCGAAGGTGAAGGAACCAGTCCACCTGCTGGTGAATCTACAACACCGTCCTCGGGAGGTGAAGGAACAACAACACCTTCAAGTGCAGCAACAACGACGACGTCGGAAGGTGAAGGAACCACTGCACCTGTTGGTGAAACGACAACACCGACATCAGATAATAGTGGATTTTCATCATCTGAAGAAAGTATGTCTCATGAAAAGGTCTCACAGGAAAGCTCGTCTTCATGGGATTCATCAGAGTCGACTGGAAACAATGATGGGGAGTCGTCTTTATCAACAAGCGAAACAAATTCTGGTTCATCAGAAACAATTGGCTCTAATGACTCACAAAATAAGAGTGACTCCTCAAATGAAAGTTCTGAGTCTTCTGAAGACTCGAGTTCAAAGAATGATAAAGGAAACAAAAGTGATTCTCATTCGAAAGAAAAAGGCCACCATGGATCATTAAACCATTCTCATTCAAAAGAAAAGGGCCATCATGGTTCACACGAAGGCCATGGCCACTCTGGTTATGGCAAAGGGAATTCCCATTCTAAAGAAAGGGATCATCATGGATCTCACAAAGGAGGCCAATCAAAAGAAAGTTCAGAATCTGTAGAAAACGGTCATGGGTCAATTAGCCAATCAGGTTATGGCAAAGGCGAATCAAAATCTTCAGAAAAAGGGCATTATGGGTCACATAATCACTCTGGTTATGGAAACCGACATTCTCATTCGAAAGAAGAGGGTCATCATGGTTCACATGGAGGCCATGGCCACTCTGGTTATGGCAAAGGGAATTCCCATTCTAAAGAAAAGGATCATCATGGATCTCACAAAGGAAGCCATTCGAAAGAAAGTTCAGAATCTGCAGAAAACGGCCATGGGTCATTTAGCCAATCGGGTTATGGCAAAGGCGAATTTAAATCTTCAGAAAAAGGGCATCATGGGTCATTGACCCAGGGAGGAGGAGAGTCCCATTCTAAAGAAAAATCAGAGTCAACTGAAAAAGGACATGGATCATTAAGCCACTCTGGTTATGGCAAAGGGAATTCCCATTCTAAAGAAAAGGATCATCATGGATCTCACAAAGAAAGCCATTCGAAAGAAAGTTCAGAATCTGCAGAAAACGACCATGGGTCATTTAGCCAATCGGGTGATGGCAAAGGCGAATTTAAATCTTCAGAAAAAGGGCATCATGGGTCATTGACCCAGGGAGGAGGAGAGTCCCATTCTAAAGAAAAATCGGGGTCAACTGAAAAAGGACATGGATCATTAAGCCACTCTGGTTATGGCAAAGGGAATTCCCATTCTAAAGAAAAGGATCATCATGGATCTCACAAAGGAAGCCATTCGAAAGAAAGTTCAGAATCTGCAGAAAACGGCCATGGGTCATTTAGCCAATCGGGTGATGGCAAAGGCGAATTTAAATCTTCAGAAAAAGGGCATCATGGGCCATTGACCCAGGGAAGAGGAGAGTCCCATTCTAAAGAAAAATCAGAGTCAACTGAAAAGGGACATGGATCATTAAGCCACTCTGGTTATGGCAAAGGGAATTCCCATTCTAAAGAAAAGGATCATCATGGATCTCACAAAGGAAGCGAATCGAAAGAAAGTTCAGAATCTGGGTCATTTAGCCAATCGGGTTATGGAAAAGGCGAATTTAAATCTTCAGAAAAAGGGCATCATGGGTCATTGACCCAGGGAGGAGGAGAGTCCCATTCTAAAGAAAAATCGGGGTCAACTGAAAAAGGACATGGATCATTAAGCCACTCTGGTTATGGCAAAGGGAATTCCCATTCTAAAGAAAAGGATCATCATGGATCTCACAAAGGAAGCCATTCGAAAGAAAGTTCAGAATCTGCAGAAAACGGCCATGGGTCATTTAGCCAATCGGGTGATGGCAAAGGCGAATTTAAATCTTCAGAAAAAGGGCATCATGGGCCATTGACCCAGGGAAGAGGAGAGTCCCATTCTAAAGAAAAATCAGAGTCAACTGAAAAGGGACATGGATCATTAAGCCACTCTGGTTATGGCAAAGGGAATTCCCATTCTAAAGAAAAGGATCATCATGGATCTCACAAAGGAAGCGAATCGAAAGAAAGTTCAGAATCTGGGTCATTTAGCCAATCGGGTTATGGAAAAGGCGAATTTAAATCTTCAGAAAAAGGGCATCATGGGTCATTGACCCAGGGAGGAGGAGAGTCCCATTCTAAAGAAAAATCAGAGTCAACTGAAAAAGGACATGGATCATTAAGCCACTCTGGTTATGGCAAAGGGAATTCCCATTCTAAAGAAAAGGATCATCATGGATCTCACAAAGAAAGCCATTCGAAAGAAAGTTCAGAATCTGCAGAAAACGGCCATGGATTATTTAGCCAATCGGGTGATGGCAAAGGCGAATTTAAATCTTTAGAAAAAGGGCATCATGGGTCATTGACCCAGGGAGGAGGAGAGTCTCATTCTAAAGAAAAATCAGGGTCAACTGAAAAAGGGCATGGATCATTAAGCCACTCTGGTTATGGTAAAGGGAATTCCCATTCTAAAGAAAAGGATCATCATGGATCTCACAAAGGAAGGCATTCGAAAGAAAGTTCAGAATCTGCAGAAAACGGCCATGGGTCATTTAGCCAATCGGGTTATGGCAAAGGCGAATTTAAATCTTCAGAAAAAGGGCATCATGCGTCATTGACTCAGGGAGGAGGAGAGTCCCATTCTAAAGAAAAATCAGAGTCAACTAAAAACGGCTATGGATCAGTCAGCCACTCTGGTTATGGCAAAGGGAATTCCCATTCTAAAGAAAAGGATCATCATGGATCTCACAAAGGAAGCCATTCGAAAGAAAGTTCAGAATCTGCAGAAAACGACCATGGGTCATTTAGCCAATCGGGTTATGGCAAAGGCGAATTTAAATCTTCAGAAAAAGGGCATCGTGGGTCATTGACCAAGGGAGGAGGAGAGTCCCATTCTAAAGAAAAATCAGGGTCAACTAAAAATGGTCATGGATCAGTCAGCCACTCTGGTTATGACAAAGGGAATTTCCATACTAATGAAAAGGATCACCATGGATCTCACAAAGGAAGTCAATCGAAAGAAAGTTCAGAATCTGGGTCATTTAGCCAATCGGGTTTTGGCAAAGGCGAATTTAAATCTGCAGAAAAAGGGCATCATGGGTCATTGACCCAAGGAGGGGAAGAGTCCCATTCTAAAGAAAAATCAGAGTCAACTGAAAAAGGACATGGATCATTAAGCCACTCTGGTGATGGCAAACGGAATTCCCATTCTAAAGAAAGGGATCATCATGAATCTCCCATAGGAAGCCATTCGAAAGAAAGTTCAGAATCTGTAGAAAACGGCCATGGGTCATTTAGCCAATCGGGTTATGGCAATGGCGAATTTAAATCTTCAGAAAAAGAGTCCCATTCTGAAGAAAAATCAGAGTCAACCACAAACGGCCATGGATCAGTCAGCCACTCTGGTTATGGGAAAGGGAATTCTCATTCTAAAGAAAAAGGTCATCATGGATCACACAAAGGAAGCCAATCGAAAGAAAAGTCTGAGTCTATAGAAAATGACCGCTGGTCATTTGGCCAATCGGGTTACGGCAAAGGTAATTCTCAAACTACCGATAAAGCTTACAACAAAGGGGCATTGAACCCCGGGAATGAAAAGTCCCATTCAAAAGAGAATTCAGAGTCTACAGAAAAGGGCAACCATGGTTCATTAAACCACTCTGGATATGGCAAAGAGGAGTCTCATTCTAGAGAAAAAGATCAGTATGGCAAAAATACCCATTATGGAGAAAAACACGGGAAAAATTCCAAAGACGTTGAAAAGACCGACAAATCCAAAGAAGAGAGTGACATATGGGCATTTGGCAACTATAAACCTCACACTTGGGAAGGGTCATCGAATTCTAACAAACAGAAACATTCTGAGAGGTATACAAATAATAGTTCAAAATCATCAGAAAAATCCCATTTATCCACTCCCGAGGAAGATTTGAGCAAATCACATAATTCAAAATATGAACAAATAATGGATAAGTCAAAAGAAACATCCAAGTCTTCGGAGGATTCAAAAGCACAGAATAATAAGTCGGGAAAGGAAACCAACAAATGGTCGCAACATAGAACAAGATATGCCAGACATATTTCAAATATTCCCGGAAGTTTTGTAGCCTCAAAGAAGGGAAACAACTCGCATCTATCAAGAAGATATATCCGGAAATTATCACATAACAAATCTGTATATGTTGTCCCAAAGCCACAAGAGACCGTCTCAGATACAATGGAGTACATAACTAACGGAAGAAATGGCTTTGTGGTTAAATCTCATCGCAATGGCAATGGGCAAAGAGAACTCAAATACTACACTGTCAATCGAGCAAATTGCAGGGGATTTCTAAAGTGGGAAATAATAAGGTTTAGGCACTCCAGATAGTCATATGAAAAAAATACACGAATATATACATAACTATGTACGATATGTTTATTAAATTTTTTTATAATTAAGAAAAAAATAATAAAACGACTTTATTAATTAATTTAAAAAATAATAATATTATGTATTAATTTTCATTGTTTTTATATTTTTATCCGTGCAATAGCAACTTAGATAGACCCCATAGTTATTACTAAAAGTATGTTGAATTTATTATTCAATTTCGATTAAATCTGGCTTGACTTTCTGTTATATTGGTGCGATTCTATTCAAAGTTTTATGATGCTCTAATGATGCTACATTGTAAAGTTTTTAATCGATTTATATAAGCTCCTACATAATATTTCTAACTTTTTATAATGTAGCAAAGGCTCTACACCTGTTCAGCTGAAAATTATTGCATTTTTGCACTTCGTTATATGATATCAGAATCTAAAGAAACATACATACTGCACATGTTTCTTTAGATTCTGATATACCGCTGAAAGTACTAAATGAATCGAAGAATATCAGAAACGATGAAAGTATCCAATATTATATAATTTACAAACATATCAATATACCTGTTACCATGTTTCAACAAAACTCTGTGCCATGACAATAATACAATACAAATGGCAGGGTTGTATGAAAAAATATTTTTCTGCAACTAAATGCAGATGAACGGAATTTAATTTGGACAATTTCATTAATTCAATATTATTTTCTAGCGGCATTACTTCTACTTCGATTCGCCAAATTCACAGAATCAATGGATCCACCACCTCCAGAGTCTTGGCATATACATTTTCCATTTCGGTCAAATAAATAAAACTATGTTGTTGTGTGTTTTTTGTCAATACCCTGAAGGAAATGTGGCGTGTTGTATCGCCTTTGACTACTATTGTGGCAACATGTCTCCATATTTTCTACAACTTGTCTACATATAATGTAATAAGAAGAAACATTTGTTATGTTAACAACCAACTGAGCGTGGTTATGCTTCTTCTTATTATTTTTATTAGAAATAATTTTGGCGGCAGTAGACAGGAATTTTGTTAAAAACTCGGGTTTAATTGATTTAAGATAATTGTATAATTAATTAGTGAAAAAAATGTGATCAAAATAAATTATAAAAGATTTACAAGTGGCATATGTGAAATTGTGTCTATATCTACAAACAATTGACTTACTACTGACCGTGTCCACATATGTGATGTTGTGTCTATATCTACAAACTACTGACCATGCCACTAGTTAATTCTCAATGACAAGCACATGTTTAATGTCAATAGTAAAATGTTGGGTATAGTCGGTCAACAGTATTGGTGACAATGTCAATAGTGATTTACTATAGACATTTCCTACAGGGTATTCTCGGTTATATCTACAGAAGTAAATACATGAGTATATTCTGTATTTGTAGTATGAGCCAATGTTCTCTTCTCAATGCACTGGATCATTCTATTTATTTTTCTAAAGATTTATTCGTTGCTGAAATAAAACAGAGTTTTGTTAAAAACCAATTTGTCTGACCATATATACATAGGGGAAAACAACAACATCAACAACATGTTGTGGCCTGTCGGTTTTTGATGCTTTTATTGGAATTTTTATTTATTTCATTTTTTGGTTTATATTTTTATTGAAAAAATAGCAATAGGACGAATGATGCCCCGGTCTATTAGCTAACGTTAGATGTGCGGACAAAAGAATTTAATCTCAAAATTTCAAAGTTAAGTTTTTTAACCAAATAGAAAAAAAGAATATCAGGAAAAATGCTTAAATAAACAAGGAAGTGGTTGTTGAGTTTGAAGCGTAAGAGAATTTAACAAAAATACCAAAGGAATATTTAGTGAAATATAGTCATGTGTATCACGAAAAGGAGCCACTTGATTCTATTTGGCGGTTCAGGTTTTTGCAATAAATAGATTCTGTTCCTTTTTTGATTAAATTGTTGATTTTTAGTTTAGTTTTATATAATGTCCATTACTGGTAAAATAAAATGTTAGTAAGAGATACAAATTAAATTCCAAATTTAAATATACAGTGTATTGCCAAAATTGTCTGTAAAGTTTTAAAGCTATTGTTTTGAGCACAAAACAAAAAATACAAAATAACGATGATACACTTTTTTTCGAATTTCGTTATTCCAACAAACAAAAGATTCAATCTAGCAGCTCAATGTGGTGCCTTTTTAAGATGAAAATCAAATCAAGCCAGAAAAAGTTTGATTGAAATTCCTTGGAGCCTTCAAATGACAGCTAACACCTGCCACAGAGTGGGTTCTTTGTGAATGGAACAGAGGAGTGCATGTGTATTTGTGCCCTCAAGGACTAATCGGCGGCATTGCTCCTCCATACACATACAATATATTTAGTATGGTTTGCTTCTTTTTGCTGTTTGTTTTTCAGTTGATTTTTATACAAACTTGTTTCACGTTGTTAAATTTCATTCATTAAAGGAGTCGCCAGAAAAAAGAAACACACACACACAACAGAAAACATACCAAGCAGATGTTTTTTTAGCAACACCTCGCTCGTGTAAAGATGAAATTTCCGCTTGAAATAAAACCCATAAAAATATTTGCGAAAAAAATAACACACACACCCACAAAGAGCAGCTGAAATTGAATTTGTGATTGTTTTATTTCGCTTAAAATTATTATACATCAAACAAAATATTTTTACAGCTAACATCAATTGTATGCATTATTCTAATGAATGTTTTCGAATTCAAAATTATGCAAATTTCAATTTAGATATTAATTTCATTTTACTTCCAAAAATTTCGAATGTGGAATAAATGGTCTGTTCTTATATGGAATGTGCATGATGTAAAGTCATCTGTGTCTCTTTCCACATCAACATGTATATGTTTTGGAATGGAAATATGTGGGGAATTAAAATTCATGTGCGAGTACTGGAAACCAACGATTTGTTGAGTACAAATTAATTTAGTTGTCAGGTAATTGAAAATGTCGATTTTGCAGAAAATTTTAATATGAGTTTTGTTCATAACCTAAACTTGTATTGTGTTAAGATTTATGGATTTGTGGTTATAATCGTAAGTCAACACTATCAGGTGGTGAGCTAAAAGAGGTATCGTGCGTCATGTGTTCTTGCCAACGGATCGTATGGTTCATACGAAACCAAACTGAAAAATGTGGCAGATATTGTACAAAAAATTTGACTTGTATTTGCACAAATGTACGAAATAGACTCGGTCATTCTAAGTTATTCCAAACATATCCATTTTACATTGCTCTACTTCCGGATTTGTAAAAACTATTACCAATAATATTATAACCACTGATAGTTTAATCTTCACACTTATAAACATTTGCTGTTGTTTTTTTAATTAAATTAAAGAAAATAATTTAAAAGCTTTGACTTTTTACTATAATAAATTACATCACCGCGCCATAAACGAGGATGATGATCATTTAAAAAATCCAAACACACAAATATTTGCCACAGCAGACAACATGTGCGACAGACAGACGGACGGACAAACAACATTTGATGTTCATAAACTTGTCTCTTTCAAAATGAAAATGAATTCAAGAAAATGAAAACAAATCCCAAAGACTGAAAACGAAGCGATTCACAGCTGCAAAGCTTCTGACGTCCCTACGCGTGTGTGTGTGTGTGCGGACGTACATATATGATTCAATTCCCTGTATGCGTTTTGTGTGACTTAAATTTTGCTGGTGTTGGCCACACACGGAAACTGGCTGGAAAAAGGACAAGAGAAAAAATGAAAAGACAAAATGAACTAAAACAAACCATTTGTATTCGTCATAAAGGACGAAACGTAAGTCTAGTGTGGTTAAGTGTATGAAAAACACAAGAAATAAATTTCCGTATATGTAGAAACTATTTATTTGAGTGTTCGTGTGTGCCGATTGTAGTCGGTGTGGGTATGTGATTTATGATACAATACTCTTGGGTGATTTACCACACACTAATCATACCGATATTTGCACCTACTCTACTCATCTGACTAACGAAAGGATACCGCCACCATAGACCCTACAATATGTAGTAGCATTGTTTTAATTTTTGTGTGTTTGAGTTTTAAATTCACCCAACAGCCGACCCTTTCTTCGAGCCTTTTAAACAACCATCCAACCAACAAAAACAAAAAATGAAACCGACCAAACCGAAGAGCATTTGGCAAATGGTGTGTTGAACGTAAATAATATGTTTTCGAAATGGTAACATTTGCTACAATTTTCATACTTGACAATCATGGGGATGTTGATGGTATTGGTTTTTGGTTTTGACTTGGTGGCTGCATGTGTTTGGTGTCGCCAAAGGCAAGGCAAACATTACGTTGACAAGTGAGAACAAGAAGAAGATGAAGACGTTGGTGATGATGCTGATGGGCTAGGTGTCGTTTGAAATATACATGGATCTTTTTTGGTATCTCTGCCTTTATTTTTTGTTTTCGACTAAATTGCTATGTAACATGATTTATTTGGGACATCGTTGGGTGTCATTGTGGGAGGATACACATGGCGAATGTCTGCTCGGTTGTCTGCTTCGTTGGGATTGAGCAAACACAGAAGGAGTCTGTGTGTCGTTGCAGTGACTCATTTCATATCATATCAACACAACAAAAACAGAATCAGAAACAAAACACACACACACACAAGCGATCAACCAGAGACATTGAAACACTTTTCAAAATTGAATTTTTGACATAACATTTTGCAAAAATTTGCTGATGGCTTTCAAAAGGGAAATAAAATAACAAAAATGTATACGGTTTTCAAGAGCATGGGGAAATCAGTGGAAAAGTCAAAATGACATTGCCTTTACACTAAAACTAATAATGGGGGAGGTAAAAACACTTTGTTTTAGAATTGAATTTGTGGTAATACGCTTCGTTAGTTAGCAGAATAGGGGAAGAAAGGGAAATGTTAAAGATTATGTGCTCCATTAGATTTTAAATTTAGGTGTATATTTTAAACGTATTTGCAATAGAAGTTAAAATTTCTACAGATATTTCGGTTA